TTTTCATGTTAACAAGGTTAAGGAAGGTCAGTCTAGAGTACCTACTAAGCATACGTAGAGCCGAATTTCCTCCAGGACGACAGATTACGTCAATGTGACCAGAGAGTAAGGGACGTTTTGCTCAGTTTATCTAGAGCTCATAACCACCGTTTACACAGTTTCCTGGCCTGGGAAGCAACTGCCCTTCCTATGTATAACGACGCGGAGACATGTACGGTTATTCAGTTGAATCAGAGAAGGAAGTTGACATGAAAACTATGAATGTGCAATGTACGATATCCAATCTACTAGATGCATTTACTTGAAATCCCAAGTGCAGGACGAGTTCAAAGCATGGTCATCCCTAATTGTGGCCTGTCAGAAGCTGACAGGAGAAGGAGAAGAGCATATCGAGGCAACCGAGCCAGAAATTCGGCCCCCGAGTGACTATATGCAGGTTAATAAAGCTTCAAACCTTCATACTGAACAGGAGGCACTAAAAACCTGAAAACCTCTTTTAACTAGATAAAGGCGCACATTGTTTTAAATAATATTCCTGAAAATGAGAAATGTTCAGAAGTAAAAAGTACAACAATGTCTTTCTAGGAGGATTCTTCTACGTTGTATCAAGAAAGTAAATGTTAAAAAGTGGAGTCAATGGCATTTCCTTTAGGTTTATTGGATGATTGGATGAATGAATAAATGGAGAATAAATGGATGGATGAATTAATTAATGGAGGATGGATGGATGAATTAATGGAGAATATGTGGATGGATGAATTAATGGAGGATGGATGGATGAATTAATAGAGGATGGATGGATGGATGAATAAATGGAGAATAAATGGATGGATGAATTAATTAATGGAGGATGGATGGATAAATTAATTAATGGAGGATGGATGGATGAATTAATGGCAAATAAGTGGATGGATGGAAGAATTAATGGAGGATGGATGGATAAATTAATGGAGAATAAAGGAATGGATGGATGAATTAATGGAGAATAAGTGGATGGATGAATTAATGGAGAATAAGTGGATGGATGGATGATTTAATGGAGAATAACTGGATGGATGAATTAATGGAGGATGGATGGATGAATTAATGGAGAATAACTGGATGGAAGAATTAATGGAGGATGGATGGATGAATTAATGGAGGATGGAGGGAGAGATGGATGGATGGATGGAGGGGGGGGGCTGGTGACGGACAGGTATCCTACCATATTCTGCACCCTTCCCTCTCTTAAAGTGGGGCTATACTCACATTTTGACATAAAGCTACATTACAATAGAACGAGCAAAAAAACTATATTATACAACATCCTCTCCCTGGCATTATTTGTTGTTTTGAGTCTCGCCTGTAATTTTGTTCTAATTCAAGGCAGTCCTTGATGGACATTTACAGCAGAAGCACTGAAATCCTTGTCTCTGCCAGTTCAGCTCCCTCCTCTCCCTCTTCCCCACAGTGACTTGGAGGCCTTCCAGCCTTCTGATCTCTAATTTAAACACAGAAGCTCCAAAATATGGGAGCAGGGTGCCGGGAGACCAGGCTTGAAAGACTCCAGTGCATCTCTTGTGAACTTTTGGCATGAATTGCTCCAGAGCACTTGCAGCTACAGAGGTCAGTGGGACATTGTTTTAAAAGCTAAATCACTGCTTAGTTACTGTAAATGTTTGAATAACTAAAAGGTTCACTTTAAAGAGAGTAGAAGAGCTGAAAATATATATTTTCATCAACATAATGCAGTGCCTGGAGGCCTTAGGGTGTGCATACTTGCTCTAGTGCAGTTTTCAGGTGCTATGTACAGAGTGCGGGGTTCAGGGATGAATCAAATTTTGGCTGAATTTCAATCTGTGGGTGGCCCTATTGATGAAACCCAGATTGAAAAAAATAGATTTTTCATTTGGATGTAAATTTCTCAGCTGTACAGCACCTGTGTATAATCGGATGTAGACACTGCTTTGATATTCTGACAGCTGACAGCACCGACATTTCCCACTTGCAGCAATTCTTCAGGGTTTAGGGGTGCACTATATACAGAGTGCAGAGTTTAGGAGTGTGCTATGTACAGAGTGTTGGATTTAGGGGTGCTCTATGCACTATGCAAGTGTCAGGACAGTACAAATCCCCCCCAAATGTCAGGATGGTACAAATCCCCCCCAAATGTCAGGACAGTACAAATCCCTCCCAAATGCAAGGACAATTACAAATCCCCCCCAAATGTCAGGACAGTACAAATCCCCCCCAAATGTCAGGACAGTACAAATCCCCCCAAATGTCAGGACGGTACAAATCCCCCCAATGTTAGGACAGTACAAATCCCCCCCAAATGTCAGGACGGTACAATTCCCCCCCAAATGTCAGGACAGTACAAATCCCCCGCAAATGTCAGGACGGCACAAATCCCCCCCAAATGCAAGGACAGTACAAATCCCCCCAAATATCAGGACGGTACAAATCCCCCCCAAATGTCAGGACAGTACAAATCCCCCCCAAATGTCAGGACGGTACAAATACCCCCCCCCCCAAATGTCAGGATGGTACATATCCCCCCCAAATGTCAGGACAGTACAAATCCCTCCCAAATGCAAGGATAATTACAAATCCCCCCCCAAATGTCAGAACGGTACAAATCCCCCCAATGTTAGGACGGTACAAATCCCCCCCAAATGTCAGGATGGTACAAATCCCCCCCCAAATGTCAGGACAGTACAAATCCCTCCCAAATGCAAGGATAATTACAAATCCCCCCCCAAATGTCAGGACGGTACAAATCCCCCCAATGTTAGGACGGTACAAATCCCCCCCAAATGTCAGGACGGTACAAATCCCCCCCAAATGTCAGGACGGCACAAATCCCCCCCAAATGCAAGGACAGTACAAATCCCCCCAAATATCAGGATGGTACAAATCCCCCCCAAATGTCAGGACAGTACAAATCATCCCCAAATGCAAGGACAGTACAAATCCCCCCAAATATCAGGACGGTACAAATCCCCCCCAAATGTCAGGACAGTACAAATCACCCCCAAATGCAAGGACAGTACAAACCCCCTCAAATGTCAGGACGGTACAAATCCCCCCAACTGTCAGGACGGCACAAATCCCCCCAAATGTCAGGACGGTACAAAGATAGGGTGTAATAAATAATTTTTTCTTGGATACACAGAATATAACTGGATATAACATTTATAGGGAAAGTTGATCCTGGGAATATCCGATTATTGATCCCGGGAATATCCGATTATTGATCCAGGGAATATCCGATTGCCTCTCGGGGGATCAGGAAGGAATGTTTCCTCTGCAGGAGGAGATTGGATCGTGCTTTGCTGGGATTTTTGCCTTCCTCTGGATCACCTGTGGGTGTAGGATTATAACTTTTTTTTTTTTATGGTTGAACCGGATGGACTTTTGTCTTTTTTCAGCCAGACTAACTATGTACCTATGTAATGCCTGTTCCTCTCCGTTGTCTATTGTTTGAGTGCGGAGAATTCGGTGTCAGAACCGGTATGTGCGGGTTTGATTAATGATTGTCTTTGACATACTAGAAATACATTTTCTCGGTATAGAAAAGATCTCTAAATATTTATACATACTTACATAGTTAGTCTGGCTGAAAAAAGACAAAAGTCCATCCAGTTCAACCAAAAAAAAAAAAAAAAAAAGTTATAATCCTCCACCCACAGCTGATCCAGAGGAAGGTGAAAAACTCAGCAAAGCACGATCCAATCTCCTCCTGCGGGGGAATAAATTCCTTCCTGATCCCTCGAGAGGCAATCGGATATTCCCGGGATCAATAATCGGATATTCCCGGGATCAATAATCGGATATTCCCGGGATCAATAATCGGATATTCCCTGGATCAATAATCGGATATTCCCGGGATCAATATTCGGATATTCCCGGGATCAATATTCGGATATTCCCTGGATCAATAATCGGATATTCCCTGGATCAATAATCGGATATTCCCGGGATCAATATTCGGATATTCCCGGGATCAATATTCGGATATTCCCGGGATCAATATTCGGATATTCCTGGATCAACGTTCCCTATAAATGTTCTATCCGGTTCTATAAATGAAGTAAGAAATGAAAACAAACAACAGATGTATAAATAAAACTTTTACAGTAAGATCTATAATATACTTCACCGAGAACTCGTCTTCCAAATACGCCAAAACCAGAGCAGAGGAAAAAAAACCCAAATATAGAAAAGCTACAGATAAGGTCACATGACGCTCCTGTACGGGGGGGGGGGGGGGGGGCGCCTTTCCAATTACTGTATATTGTCTCAATCTAAATGAATGTGCCACCGGAGGACTCTGGGAAACTCTGACTACATTAACATAGTAATTAACCTCCTTGCGTGGAATGAAGCCAGGGGCCCGCTATGTCAGGAGTGGCCGAGATACAATCTTCCATTACAACAACCACTGGAGAGGCGTTCGTCTCCGACTAGCGGACCCAATTAAGGATCAATACTTGCGCTCCCCGTCGTGAGGACGTTTCTGCACAACATAAAAATTGAAGCCGTAAAGAAGAAAGAAGCATTTCCAGTCGGCTGCGAGTCACAGAGTCGAGGAAAAACTATAAGTTTACATTTCGTGTTATTGTAATATTTACCTTGTAGCAATTTGTTTTACATAAATTTGCGCATTTTAACTTGCCTGCCATGTCACGTTTTCTTACATTTCTCATAAACAATTTTTTAGGTTAACATGCCAGCTAGAAATACACCATATTGCCAAAAGTATTGGGCCCGCCCTCCATATCATGTGATTCAGGTGTTCCAATCCCCTCCAAACATGTGATTTGGGTGTTCCAATCCCCTCCCAATCATTGGATTCAGGTGTTCCAATCCCCTCCATATCATGTGATTCGGGTATTCCAATCCCCTCCATATCATGTGATTCAGGTGTTCCAATCCCTCCATATCATGTGATTCGGGTGTTCCAATCCCCTCCATATCATGTGATTCGGGTATTCCAATCTCCTCCATATCATGTGATTCAGGTGTTCCAATCCCCTCCATATCATGTGATTCAGGTGTTCCAATCCCCTCCAAATCATGTGATTCAGGTGTTCCAATCCCCTCCAAATCATTGGATTCAGGTGTTCCAATCCCTTCCCAATCATGTGATTCAGGTGTTCCAATCCCCTCCAAATCATTGGATTCAGGTGTTCCAATTGTTCCAATCCCCTCCATATCATGTGATTCAGGTGTTCCAATTCCCTCCATATCATGTGATTCAGGTGTTCCAATCCATTCCCAACCATGTGATTCAGGTGTTCCAATCCCCTCTCAATCATGTGATTCAGGTGTTCCAATCCCCTCCATATCATGTGATTCAGGTGTTCCAATCCATTCCCAACCATGTGATTCAGGTGTTCCAATCCCCTCCCAATCATGTGATTCAGGTTTTCCAATCCCCTCCATATCATGTGATTCAGGTGTTCCAATCCCCTCCCAATCATGTGATTCAGGTGTTCCAATCCCCTCCATGGACACAGGTGTATACAATCAAGGCCCTAGGCATGCAGACGGCTTCTACAAACATTGGTGAAAGATTGGGTCGCTCTCAGGAGCTCAGTGACTCCAAGCGTGGTCCCGTGATAGGTGGCCACCTGGGCAATAAGTCCATCCGTGACATTTCCTGGCTACTAAATATTCCACGCTCAACTGTTAGTGGGATTATAACAAAGTGGAAGCAACTGGGAACAACAGCTACTCAGCCACCAAGTGGTAGGCCACGTCACATGACAGGGCGGGGTCAGCACATGCTGAAGCGCACAGTGCGCAGAAGTCACCAACTGTCTGCAGAGTCAATAGCTAAAGACCTCCAAACTTGGTGTGGCCTTCAGATGAGCCCAACAACAGTGCGTAGAGAGCTTCATGGAATGGGTTTCCATGGCTGAGCAGCTGCATCCAAGCCTTCCATCACCAAGTGCAATGCTAAGCGTCATATGCAGAGGTGTAAAGCATGCTGCCACTGGACTCTAGAGCAATGAAGATGGGTTCTCTGGAGTGACCAATCACGCTTCTCTGTCTGGCAATCTGATGGATGTGTCTGGGTTTGGTGGTGGCCAGGAGAACGAAACTTGCCTGACTGCATTGTGCCAAGTGTAAAGTTTGGTGGAGGGTTGTTTTTCAGAGGTTGGGCTTGGCCCCCTAGTTCCAGTGAAGGGAACTCTTAAGGTGACATTTTGGACAATTTCATGCTCCCAACTTTGTGGGAGGAGTTTGGGGATGGCCCCTTCCTGTTCCAACATGACTGCCCACCAGGGCACAAAGCAAGGTCCATAAAGACATGGAGGAGCCAGTTTGGGGTGGAGGAACTTGACTGTCCTGCACAGAGTCCTGACCTCAACCCCATAGAACACCTTTGGGATGAATTAGAGCGGAGACTGTGAGCCAGGCCTCCTCCCCCGACATCAGTGACTGACCTGACAAATGTGCTTCTGGAAGAATGGTCCAACCTTCCCATAGACACCCTCCTAAACCTTGTGGACGGCCTTCCCAGAAGAGTTGAAGCTGTTATAGCTGCAAAGGGCGGGGCCAACTCAATATTGAACCCTACGGACTAAGACTGGGGGGACATTAAAGGTCATGTGTGTGGAAAGGGCGGGGCCAACTCAATATTGAACCCTACGGACTAAGACTGGGGGCCATTAAAGGTCACGTGTGTGGAAAGGGCGGGGCCAAATCAATATTGAACCCTACGGACTAAGACTGGGGGGCAATTAAAGGTCAGGTGTGTGGAAAGGGTGGGGCCAACTCAATATTGAACCCTACGGACTAAGACTGGGGGGCCATTAAAGGTCACGTGTGTGGAAAGCGTGGGGCCAACTCAATATTGAACCCTACGGTCTAAGACTGGGGGGCCACTAAAGGTCATGTGTGTGGAAAGGGTGGGGCCAACTCAATATTGAACCCTACAGACTAAGACTGGGAGGCCATTAAAGGTCATGTGCATGGAAAGGGTGGGGCCAACTCAATATTGAACCCTACGGACTAAGACTGGGGGCCATTAGAGGTCATGTGCATGGAAAGGGCGGGGCCAACTCAATATTGAACTCTACGGACTAAGACTGGGGGCCATTAGAGGTCATGTGCGTGGGAAGGGCGGAGGCCCAATACTGGGGGCAATATAGTGTGTGCTGTGAGGAGGATGAAGCTACAAAGTATATGGAAGCAGCAGCTTCTCTTTATCTCTTCTAGGTGGAGTCCATCCATTCTCGGGGCCCCGGTCACTTTTGAGTATTTTGTAGCTTGTACCTCGAAGCCTAAAAACGCTCAACAAGCAAAAACGTATTGTTTTCAATGGCCCTCGTTCACTTCTGAGTGTCACTTGTAGCCTAACGCCTGTCGCTCATGAGTTACTTTTCAGTCAGAATTGAGTGTTTTTGTCCCCGTAGACTTCGATGGGGTTTTTCAAGCCTTTTGTCGCACGTTTCTCGCTCAAACAGGGGCACTCCACACCTTTTAGTTGAGTAACGTCTGACAAAAAGCTGCAATTCTGCTCCAAAAACGCTCAAAAACACTTAGAAAAAAACTCCTGAAAATGTGACTCTTGGGTGGGATGTAGCCTCCATGGTGGACCCTGCTGCCCGTTCCCTCAAGTCAGGCTTTGCATACTGAAGGTTAACGTTTCATTAGAAAACAGAAAGCAAGGAGTCTGTGACATCACTAGTGACAATATATATCCTTCTTGGTACACGGATACAATACCCAGCAAAGGGGACCCCTAGTTATCGGGCATCATGTGGTTTTTGCTCCTATTCCGGTTAGCAGCACTGGGAAAGGGTCGTCCAGCACCCAGGGCAAGGATCCAGAAATGTGCCCCCCTCCCCCATGGTTAATGCATACCGTAGAGTAGGTGTACCACCCTCCATCTATTATTTGCCCCCTTGCTTCTCTGCGCCCAGGGCAGCTGCCTCTGCTGCCCACCCCCTTGTCCCGGCCCTGCTGGTTACTACCTTACTCCTGGGTGCTGCTGATTAGCTGCTGCCTGCAAACACCAGTTGGTGTGGTTCCAGTGTGATCACTCTTTCCTCTGTATCTGCATGAGTCTCATCTGACAGCCTATCTGGACACCTAGCAATCCCAGGAGACAGCCCTTCCCCCTCCAATACACAACAGGTGATTGACAGCCTCAGCTGTGCTTGCTTCCTTATGAGAGTAGAGGAGGGTGTGTCCATTCACTTCTCTCAGGTCTCAGATTACACTTAGCTCTCTGCTCTGTGGTGTGCAGTACATGACATCAAATCCTTGACCCCTGCCCTCTGGAACTGAGAAAAAGCATTTGACCTGTGTGTTTCAGCCTATCTGGACACCAAGCAATCCCAGGAGATTGATCTTCCCCCTCCAACACACAACAGGTGATTGACAGCCTCAGCTGTGCTTGCTTCCTTATGAGAGTAGAGGAGGGTGTGTCCATTCCCTCCACTCAGGTCTCAGATTACACTTAGCTCTCTGTTCTGTGATATGCAGTATATGACATCAAATCCTCGACCCCTGCCCTCTGGAACTGAGAAAAAGCATTTGACCTGTGTGATTCAGCCTATCTGGACACCAAGCAATCCCAGGAGATTGATCTTCCCCCTCCAACACACAACAGGTGATTGACAGCCTCAGCTGTGCTTGCTTCCTTATGAGAGTAGAGGAGGGTGTGTCCATTCCCTCCACTCAGGTCTCAGATTACACTTAGCTCTCTGTTCTGTGGTGTGCAGTATATGACATCAAATCCTCGACCCCTGCCCTCTGGAACTGAGAAAAAGCATTTGACCTGTGTGTTTCAGCCTATCTGGACACCAAGCAATCCCAGGAGACAGACCTTCCTCCTCCAACACACAACAGGTGATTGACAGCCTCAGCTGTGCTTGCTTCCATGATTATATACATTCATACACACTATATATATCGTGTGTGTACATATACATTATATATATTTTAGGTGGTGGGGATTGCTCCTTTTAGAGACTTTCCTTTTCTTCCCTTCCTTGCAGTAAAGTGCTGTACAGGTTGCCTGATGGGGGCGGGAACTTCATCCATCCCCACCAGGGGCGGACTGACAACTCATGGGGTCCCCGGGCAATAGGGGATCATGGGGCCCCTGTGTCCTTGCCCAAACTCAAAAAAGCCTATGAAAAAGGTACCAGGCGCATCTCATGGGGCCCCCTACTGACCCCGGGCCCTCGGGCGGTGCCCGAGTTTCCAAATGGTCGAACACTAGAAGGTCGCTGATAGGATCATTATATGGAGGTTTCCTCCTGAAGCCAATCATTCTGTTAAATATTGAGTTGGTTTATTTAAGTCGTAGCTGAAAACTGATGACATTTGCAGGTGGACATGGACTTGTGACCTTGACCACCTCCAGTCCTTCACAGAAGGGCTTTCCCACATCCTAAAGATGTTCTAGAAGGCTGTAGAGGAGAGAGGGTGCAGATAAACCGGTACAACTTATACACATTTCTGTATAACCTAACGCTAGTCACATCTCTGGGTATATGGAAGGATTTCCAACCACTTTAGGGTGACAAATCTGCGGGAGTTAAAGGAATGGGCGTTTAATTCTCACTAGCAATCAGCATTCCTAACTCAACGACAATTGACTAACATACAAGAAATCCAATTTGGCCGAACGCTGGAAGGTCACTGATAGGATCGTTATATGGAGGATCGTTATATGGAGGATCATTATACGGAGGATCATTATACGGAGGATCATTATACGGAGGATCATTATACGGAGGATCATTATATGGAGGATCGTTATATGGAGGATCATTATATAGAGGATCATTATACGGAGGATCATTATACGGAGGATCATTATACGGAGGATCATTATACGGAGGATCATTATACGGAGGATCATTATACGGAGGATCATTATACGGTGGATCATTATACGGAGGATCATTATACGGAGGATCATTATACGGAGGATCATTATACGGAGGATCATTATACGGAGGATCATTATACGGAGGATCATTATACGGAGGATCATTATATAGAGGATCATTATATGGAGGATCATTATATGGAGGATCATTATATGGAGGATCATTACATGGAGGATCATTATATAGAGGATCACTATATGGAGGATCATTACATGGAGGATCGCTACATGGAGGATCGTTACATGGAGGATCGTTACATGGAGGATCATTACATGGAGGATCATTATATGGAGGATCATTATATGGAGGATCATTATATGGAGGATCATTACATGGAGGATCATTATATGGAGGATCATTATATGGAGGATCATTATATAGAGGATCACTATATGGAGGATCATTACATGGAGGATCATTACATGGAGGATCATTATATGGAGGATCACTATATGGAGGATCATTACATGGAGGATTATTACATGGAGGATCATTACATGGAGGATCACTACATGGAGGATCGTTATATGGAGGATCGTTACATGGTGGATCGTTACATGGAGGATCACTATATGGAGGATCATTACATGGAGGATCACTACATGGAGGATCACTACATGGAGGATCATTATATGGAGGATCATTATATGGAGGATCATTATATGGAGGATCATTATATGGAGGATCATTATATGGAGGATCACTATATGGAGGATCACTATATGGAGGATCATTATATGGAGGATCACTATATGGAGGATCACTATATGGAGGATCACTATATGGAGGATCACTATATGGAGGATCACTATATGGAGGATCACTATATGGAGGATCACTATATGGAGGATCACTATATGGAGGATCATTATATGGAGGATCATTATATGGAGGATCACTATATGGAGGATCATTATATGGAGGATCATTATATGGAGGTTTCCTCCTGAAGCTAATTATCCTGTTAAATATTGAGTTGGTTTATTTAAGTCGTAGCTGAAAAC